CATGTGTATTTAAGGAAAGTGATTCAATTGGACTTAATTTGACTGTAGCATGCAAAAAGTTATGTTTTTCTCAGTCATTAATCTTTTTGATTTTGACATATCAGCGTGGTTTTGTACAAGCAGAGCACAATCGGTCACAAACACAGAATACTACAAAGAAAGTTAACATTTTCTGGCATGGAATCAATCTATAGTAATTATTTCTTCTGGAAATCTGACTTTTGATTCACATATTCCCCTTTATGAATTAAGTAGAGAAGGGACAGCGGTTACGTCAGAATAAGAATGTACTGTTTTGCTTCGTAACTTTATAATTAGCTCCTAACACTATAAAATATATAGTTATCTGACAGACGAATCAGAAAATACGTTTTGCAGTTGAATAAAGTTAGCCGAATAAAATCAACATAGTATGACAAGGAAGATAAGCATTAGGTAACGTAAGGAAAATCGCCTAACAACTTTTAGTTATGTTTCTTCTTCAGCAGAGGCTTCAAGAAAAATCATTTACTTTTTTGTTTTTTTATCAGATTTATCTTACAGTGAGGCAGTACTGCTTATTGAATAATGTCTCGGCTACAATTCGTTGATCATACTCATTTCAAGCTGTTACGGGCAGCTGTTGGTAAGTTTCCGTTCGGCTCATACGTACTTTGTTGCAGAGGGTGCACAAAAGATTGACGATCAATTTGGAGGTGGGAACCTGTAAGGTAGAAGAAACAGAGAAACGTGTAAACCGACGACTCTAAAGGCACAGCGAATGTACTTCCATTTATTGATAAAAGGCAGTTGACGAACCGTAGTAACTTGCAACGAGAAGACAGGGTAGTCTGGAGATCAAGACTAAAAGTAAATTTATTAGATTCCTAAAATGTTAAGAGGTAGCTCCACAACTTTGATACACATTTTACATGTTTCTAACTCTATAACCGTAAAAAGCATGCCTTAAATTTGTGAAGTTAACTGACGCGAATGAATATGGACAACGAGTTGTGTCCGGAACGTCATCCAGAAAATATTGCTGTCTCACTGTGTAACACATTTAATAGTCCAACTGAAATGAAATTAATACTTATCACAGTGGTTACTTTCAGCTTCAATATTAAAGACAGTATGAATAGTATCAAAGTATTTTGGCCTCACCACGCAACAAATGTAGCTCTAAAGTGAATTTTCAACATTCATCTCCACACTTCTAAGGTAAAACTTATCTAAGTTGCTTAACAGAATCAGGAAACAAGCTTCACTTTTTTAGTGGTTCGAGCTTCATGGAAAAATTTATAAATAAAAGGTGATCATTATAATTTGGCACCAGCTATTAGTAAGCACTACCGGTTATTTTTAAACATAATTAATCACCTTTCTGGTAAGTGACTTCAAAGTGAAGTATCCATTAGTAAATAAGCATAACCTACCGAATGAAATATAAACTGAGTTGTGAATAAAAATTTACGACTTACCATCAACTCTGCAGCCCACAGCAAGGATCAGTTAGGACAGGAGTCTTTGACAGGTGTTTGAAACGCTCTGATTAACCTATCACTTGTTTATTGATTTCAATGAAAAATAATGACATTTGTTGTAGCTTACAGTTTTATGGTTACAATCCAATTTATGAAACAGAGAGGTTCTTCAACAGATATCTCATTTCTCAACCTCTATTCGCCTCAAGACTGCCGGTTGAACTTCAGCATAAGTAAGTCAGTGGAATACAGTTTTCGTGCAATTCGGTAACAAAATAAGTTTCCAAATAAAATTATTACAGTTACTGAATCTGTAAGTACAGTAAATCCATGCGTTTCAATTTCCGTTTCTGCGTTATGGCAGAAATGTCAAGAGAAATTAAATGTGGGAATTTTACAGGTTTTTCACGAGAAACCTGTTTCCTTATTTTTACCAACACCTGTACAAAGTAACCAGGGTATAATACAAAGTTTTCCAATCAAAAGATGAAAGCAAAAGTATGAAGCTCTTTAGTTCATTTAACTTTTTGGTAGGATACTGTGATAAATAAAAGCATGACTTTCTGCTTAGACTGAGCAGCTTAACAAGACATTTTTAAAAGAAGTGACATGCAAAAATTTTAATAATATATAATATTTAAGACTGCCTTTCATGAGGAAAATTCGATTAAAATCGTGGGAGACTGAAATAACAGTTATGATGGTTACAGTTATAATAATGGTGGCACTCAATGATGTACGGGTCAAATAATAACAAAAGAAGATTGCACTATCATAATACTCTGATTCAGACAGGAAATCTTCTACATAAATAAAAGGTGTTCAGTGTGATACCTTAAGCTGAATAATGTAATAAATATAATGGTCAAATGGAATTTCATTTCAAGTCATAAAATATGACCTAGAAAACCAAATGTAAGTGAAAATCACATTATTTTAACGATGGAAATGCAAGGTAACCAGAGAGATGTTATATACTTGAAGGTATTCGGTTAGTTTGTAGTTTCAAATTCCACATAAACATCATGTACACTAAAGCTTGAAAATCCAGAACAAGAATAATTTAAGTGATTGATTGCTCTTAATAACCTCCTCTCCAGGCTTTACAGTTATAAATCCATAAGAATAGATAATTCCAACAAACAGTGTAAGCCAAAACGTAAAAGCTTTATTAGGTGAAATATTAATCAGTCTAGTGTTAGTTGTGAAATGAATGCAATACGAACAGAAAAATTACGAAACAATGGCGACAAAATCTAGAGATGATGATTTTTATTTATATGAATGGTTATGAATGAGTGTAGGCTTGTTCACTAAGAATCAAATGATCATTATTTAGTGATGGGTTAGATTCAGGTAGGGTGAAAAATCCTGTGAATACAATAAGGAAGCAACAGATAAAATGTGAAGTGTTACTTTAGAGTTGAAAACGACTACTATATAAGTAGACGGAGGTAATAAACTAATAGCCAGTGAAAATGAATGTTAATCAATGAAAAGACAGAGACAAGAATAATAAGATGGGATGGGAGTTGCAATGAGAAATTCATGGTATAAAAGTTCATAAAGAACGTGTAGACTCTACTGTGGACCAAAATAGACAAAGTGAATACACGGGTTTCTTTTTAACACATAAGTCAGGCTTTTTGTGTTGATACTAACGGCTTGGTTACAGATTAGAGAAATAGTCATACCCTTCTGTGGAGATGTCAAAGAACACAATAAATCCTAAAAATGGGGTAATCTAAATTGATTTGGTATCCAGTATCCACCAAATGCGAAAGGACTCCACTGTACATGTTCCTGTTAATGAACAATTAACACTCAATTTTATGTGAACCATAACCACGATTTAACAGAATACTGTAGCTATAATTGGGCGCCCAGTTAAATGCTTGCATTATATCTAGGTTATATTTGTGCAACAGTGTTTTTGAAATATCACTAGATTGAATTCTATTCCACTTGATAAAATTTTACGTTTCTTTGATTTGATGTTCATTTAGGCACTTAAACATAATTAAATCCAAGTGAGGGTACTTCAGGTTATGTTTTGTTCAGTTTAATATCTGAGCAGCTGTATAAATATTTTTCGGGATTTTAATAGGAGCCTTCCAAAATTTCTCTTTTACCAAGGTCTTCAACAAAGTCTTTGAGAAATATTAATATGTTCTATATTGGAGGTTATGGGTGGAATCGATAAATTTTAAGTGACATACAGTGTTCAACTCATTGACTAGTTTGTCAGTTTTGCAACCAGAAGTTTTATTGATTCAATGAAACTTTTTGTCATACGTCGAAGGTTATTAACAGAGAGAGGTAGTTTACATGGGGGTAGTCACTTGACCATTTATCGATGATAGCAGGACAAATGCAAGCATACAGTTGAGTAGCTTCTCTGAATATTCTGCAGTATATAGTCACCACGTGATTAAGCTACATACAGGACCCAACTGTTTCCCCTTTTTATATTACCTCCGGTCGTGTAACAATTCGTCCATATCTGTTCGGGAAGTTACACTTGGAGGAGAGGAAGTAGGGTCTATCTTCCGTATTTTAAGCTAGTTCCGAGAAGCCTACGATTGAGAGGAGCAAGTATCTTAAATAGTGCAGTTGTTACACATTTAGTGAACACAGGACATTAGGCAGATGCCTAGGAATCGTTTAAAACAATCAACGAATAGAATAGTTCAAATCTTCTTAACTTTGCCGCGGATGCAGCAATCACCTGACTAAGACCAGACTTACATATTATCAAGGAATGTATCATCAATCCTGTAAATACTCTGGTAAACAATTTTCTTAAAATTCAACTTACTTTATCACTTCATTATCTTGTTATTAGATTTTAAGTCAACGCTAGACCCGATTTCATTCTAATGAGTTTTACTCATTACCTTTTCAGCACATGAATACTCCTATTTAGATATTTAGAAAAAATACTGATTAAGCGAAGAAATATATTCCTTTTGATCAAATCTATGGTAGTATTCGCTTCACACAGCCTTCGGCTGCACTTCAGAAACTCATTAAAGATCTTTAACGTAAATTAGTACTAAGAAGATTGCAGTATATTGAAGCGAAGGCTACCATAGATTCCATCACAAAATATATTTCTTTGCTCAGTTAATCTTTTTTCATTACACTTTGTTATATTTCGTTTTCTGACTATTGTTAACTTATCTTTTCATCGATTTATTCTAGATTTCCCAGTATTTGTTTTTCTACCTCCATATAGTTTTTACCAAAATATATTCCATCTAGTTAGGTAGTTATTTATGACATCAGTACATGACATTTTGACTTTACTCCAAACTCGGACAGTTTCCCTACTTTGTTATTTTGTTGTCACGCTTTGACTGATCTCACTAAACTATGTTAATATTTTGTTGTAATTCGTCAACTTAAATATTCTTGATTGTAGGTGGTCTGCGAGAACCATGGAATAATAAAATGGATCCATATTATTCTTCTCCAATGCTTAAACTTGTTGTTTTAAAGATCAAATATTGTAATCATGACACTCATTTAACTTACAGGAGATACTACTGGTGTTTCATCTTGAATAGATTTCATATTCAAGAAACTTTTTTTCATGAGAATCATCTTAGTGATAAATATCAAAATCATTTTTCATTATTCGCGAATACGACTAGAGACTATCTAAGGAGAACCTGAGTTTTGAAATCAATGTAAGTGATAAAAGAAAAAGGTCACTGAAAACCAGAAGTATGATATATTTATCTGATTTGAATAAGCAAAATCACTTGTTTCGCAAAATCAGCCAGTTTTATTAACTAGTTTAATGTCAACTCTGGGGTATCATCCCAATAAATATTTTTAAAAATGCATTCAAATTAAAACTGTAATTTTCCTTGCTCCACATATCGGACTGAGGACACTGTCACAACAACTAATATCTTAAACAAGCTCATGAATTTCCATAGTCAGACTTAAGTTTCAAAAAACATTTCTTTTCCTCACTTTGGCCATTTAAAAATAGGTTTATCTCTGAGCAAAATGATATTATGGGATTCAAATTATTTTATTACAATATTTACCTGGAAATAATACAAGGGAAAAGTTACAAGCACCCAGAAGTTAAAGTGCCATATTCGAGTTTAACTTTTTATGCTGTCTGTTCAAGGAAAATGACAACATTTGTAATTTTGTTAGGTAGTAGAATTTTACTAAGTAATACTACAACTTGGTGATGAATAACCGTTATCAACAAGGTAGGACAACTAATTCCCCCTTAGTTTTAAACAAAACAATGCGAAAAAATGCACATGAGTTATGGTATTTGTTATCAACTTACTTCAAACAATCTCATCATGGATATGCTTGGTTCGATTTTCTGGCTTAGATTTTCTTCCAACCTCAGTAAGGAACTCAACTTTAAAATATCCCTCCTCAGACGAAGTAATTTGTAATTTTGGAGTTGAAACACATCCAGAAAACGAATGTCTTAAAGGCCTTTAATATATCAAGGTGGTAGTGATCACCGACTGGTATGAGCTAGAGAACAACTGAAAACCTGGGACCACTGGCAGTGTTATTGGCGTCCACTGCTGAGGAGTCCTAAATTAGGACGGAACAGGTATTCAGTGCTCCTAATTTTCCAATGATACTGAAACCGATACCAATTCATGATGAATAACACTCTGAAATCAATCGAGTTTTCAAAAACACTTGATCAATATTACCCGTAATATGTGTTAATTTCGGATCAATATTCTATCGAAATGACGATTTACTTTCTATATTGCTTATAAGTAAATAGTTTCAGATTGATCCGAATTTATAAAAGCATTAACATAACCTCTACTGGTTAACTAGTTCACTAGTTACTAGCCCGTCCTAAGCCACGGTAAAGAGGGAAGGTTGAGCGTAGAGCTAGCAACCCTACCCCGAAAAACCAATACAACTGCTAAAGAAACTTCAAACCACAGAAAAAACATTAAAAATAAAGAAAAAACTTATTCCTCACTGGAATCGGAGAGGCAAAATGACGCTGGTTGGTGAAAGCCTGCCTTCGGGAAGCCAATCGGCTGATGTGTATCCTCCTCTCTCGATGAAAGTGAAAGTAGGGATGGGGACATGGAATGTCCACATCATGTATGAACCTAGCAAGGCTGTCCAGATTGCAAAGGAGATGAGAAGTTATTGCATTGCATTGCATTGAAGTGTTAGGAATTTGCGAAAGCAGATGGAATGGAAGTGGACTCTCGCAACTGTCAACTGCAGAATCAATAATCTACTCGGATATTGTCATCCGGACGACAAGCATGAGCACACTGAGTTCTGGAGTGGCTATGATGACGTCTTCAAGAACATCGAAGGCTCTAATGGAGTGTGAACCGGTCTCCTCATGCAGGATCATGACAGCAAGGTCCAACTCAAAAGAAAGGAAGGAAGGAAGGAAGGAAGGTCACAATCACACAATGCTATGCTACACGCCTACAAATAGTGCAGAGCAAGAGAAAGAGGAGGAGTTCTACAGACAACTGCAATCAACACTGGACAAGACACCACCTCAGTTGGCGATATCAAAATTCTAATGGGTGGGATGACATAAATGCCGGCTAAACTGGGAGTGGACAACACAGGAAGAGAAGTAACCATGGGTGGAGAAGCGCTCGGTGAGGTGATGAACGAGAATGGAGAATTGCTTGCAGACTTGTGTGCATTCAACGATTTGTTGATTGGAGTCAGGCAGTGTGTTCAAGCACAAGGATATCCACAAAGTGAGCGACATGGATTTGATTTCACCAGATGGACACACTACACCACAAATCAGATCGACTTCATCTCAATGTGAAGGAAGTGGAGACGCAGCCAATCTACTGGACACAAGATCAGATGAAGAAGGGGAGCAGATGTAGGTGGTTCACACCACTCAGTATCTAGTGCAAGGAACCTACCTTCCAAATCAAGTTGAAAGCCTTCGAAGAAGAAGTTGGTGATAGACAGATCACAGTTGAAGTTCAACAACAACCCTGAACAGAAACTGAACTGAAGGACGAAACTGCACAGGAAATCTTCACTTCAGTCATGAAGACGAAATGAGAGAGAGATATCGAGCAACATGCGCGAAGAAACCTGAGTGGAAAAACACTGGAACTGTTTGAAGGAGATGTGGAGGGAAACCTGCATATCCGTGTCAGGGAGGAAGAGGAAAGAAGACAGGACAAGGAATGGATCTTGACGGATACATGGAAGCTGATAGAGCAGGAAGAGGAGAATGGTGAAGCAGAAGATGAAGATGAACCAGTGCAAAGATGAACGACGAGAAAAGGAACTGAGTACAATGTGTGAAACCCTACACTGGACAAAGAAGTGAAGACGAGTGCGTGCAAAGACAAGAGACACTTCCACGACACACTGGCAAGTGAAGCAGAACAGGCTGCTGGTAGGAGAGGCGGAGAGAGAGAGAGAGGGAGAGAGTGAGAGACCTGACAACATTGTATCAAATAACCAGGTTGCTTACTATCTGAGAGGGAAGCGATCAACACAGATGAAACCAATAAAAGATGATGAAGGAAATCTAACTACCGAAGAAGAGAAAGAAGGGAAACAATAGGCTGACCACTTCAAAAGACCCTTGAATTGACCACCACCTGCACTTCGTCAGAAATACCACCAGCGATGGCAGAACTACAAGTGAACACAAATCCTTCAACGAAAGTGGAAGTCCTGGATGCCATAAGGCTACTGAAATGCAGGCAAGCAGCAGGACCAGATGGAATCCCGGCAGGAACACTGAAAACAGACACAGGGACAACAGTGGACATGCTCACACCACACCAGTATTTTGCAGAAGATTTGCAAGTAAGGAAGGAAAGAGGGAAGGAATGATGAATGAAGGAAGGGAAGGAAGGAGAGAGTGAAGGAAGAAGTAAGGAAGGAAGGAGTGAAGGATGAAGGAAGGAAGGAAGGAAGGGTACCTGGCAATAGATTGGAATAAGGGCCACCTCGTTAAACTCTCAAGGAATGGTGACTCAAGTGTTAGCAAGAACTAGGATGGATTGTTGCTGCTGTCCATCCCAAGCAAAATATTAAGCCGCATCATCCTGGAGAGAATGAAAGATGCACTGGATAGTAAACTACATGACCGGAACATGCTGGCTGGCTGGCTTCAAGAAGAACAAATCATGAGCGGAATCAAATTGCAACACTACGCATCACCATACAACAGAGCATAGCATGCCATGTCAACTCAACTCCACCTCAACTTCATCGACTTTGAAAAGGTCTTCGACAGTGTCGACCGACAAGTAATTTGGCAGGCTGGCAGCTGCTTCAACACTACAGTTTGAGTGCCACAAACCTTCATCAATCTCATTCAACAATCTATTTGAAGACGCCACATGCCAAGTGATCCACAATGGGAAGCTCAGTGATGCCTTTGAAGTGAAGACAGGAAGCAGTCAGACAAGGCTGCCGCCTACTATCATTCACGATCTTTCTCATTGTGGTTGACTCAACTGGATCATGCAACAGACAGTGAGGAGCGAGAAGATGGGTATACGCTGGCTGGACCGATGATAAGATCCTAGAAGACTTGGATTTCGCCGATGACTTGTGTCTAATGTCACACAAACTCGAGTATCTACAGGCAAAACCAAGAAGTAGACAGAATAGGCAGGCCAGCGAGGACGGGACTTCAAGTGGACGTAGAGAAGACCGAGGTGGTGAAGACACCCAACCAACCAACCAACCAACCAACCAACCAACCAACCAACAACAAAAGCAACAACAGGCGCCAATCACCATCAATGAGAGAAACCGAAAGGGAGTATTCTCTTTCACCTACCTGACCAGGCAGCATCGTTTCAACTACAGGCGGCATCACAGGCGCAGATGAGGATGTCAAAGCCAAGATCGGAAAGAGAGCAAGACAGGAGTTTATTCGCCTGAAACCAGTGTGTAGATCTTCTGCACTCAGCACGTGGAACAATATCCGGATTTTCAACACCAATGTCAAGTCAGTGCTTCTGCATGGTTGAGAGAATTGGCGTGTCACGAAAGGTATTTCCAACAAACTACAGACATTCACCAACAACTGCCTATGCTCGTTACTGAAGATCAGATGGCCAGAATGATAAGAATATGCTACAAGGAACTCTGGAAACGAACCAACCAAGAAGGCATCACTCAACAAATATACGGAAGTAAGTGGTGGTGGATTGGGAATACACTGAGAAGGCCGACTGGGGACATCACGCATCAGGCCAGGCCCTCGAGTGGAACGCAGATGGGAAGCGACGAGATGGGCGTCGGAGGCGAGGGTGACATGGAGGAGATCATGTGAGGATGAAATGAAAGCTTGTGGGCAGTCGTGGCGTCAGGTTCAGAAGACTGCAGAGAACAGAGTGCCCTGGAGACGTGCTACTGAAACCCTGTGTTACGTTAGGAACCCAAGGGACAAATAAATAAATAATAATAAGTCTTATTATTGAGTAGAGACATAACTTCCTAGAAAGAAGATGGAATACCAGCATTATACTCTTCATTGTTATTTTGACTTCTTAAAATATAAAAACGCATTTTTAACCTTCTACTTCAAATATAAA